ACTTAGGCCTTTGCTGTTGTTGGGTGGTGTCGAGTCAATTCCAACTCTTGGAGACCCCGGGGACAGAGTAGAACGCCCTCTTAGGGCTTTCTAGGTTGTAATCCTTTGGGGAGGAGATCACTTGGTCTTTCTCCTATGAAGCAGTTAGGTGGGTGTGAACTGCCAACCTTTCTGTTCGTTGCTGAGGGTGTAACCTCTGTCCCACCAGAGCTCCTTAGCTTAGACCCTTAGGGAATGACTGAAAGCTGCTCATCTTGGCTGAAAGTCTCCTCTCTCAACTCCCCTCTTCAGGCTTCCACTAAACAAACACAACTCGTAGGAACTAGTCATTCTTGGAACAAGCAAGGGCTATCGATCCCTTCAGGAAATTCTAGATGAGAGACAAATGTGTTGATGTACTTGGGAGGGCTGGCTTGGAGGGGCTATGGAATGACAGGGCCCAGAAATATAAGCCAGGCTCTGAGGCTACAAAATGGCCAGCCTCGTAGGATGCTTACAGGGTGGGGAGTAGGCAGAAGGTCTTCTCCTTAGGTACCCCTGGCTTTGCAGCAGCCCCCTTAGAGGGTGGATGGGTAGGCTCACCTTGGGGAGGAAGTATGGACATTACACACTTGCTAACTGCAGAAAAACAGGATGGAGGAAGGCTGGAAAAACACAGGTTGCGCTTGGGAAACAAGACTGTCATAAACAACAGTAACACATCGAAGGCACCACCCACGCTTAAGCCATCTTCAGTCCAAAGCAGGTGAAGTTCGGCGGCAGCGGCAGCAATGCGCTGAGGGGTGGGAAAGTCAGGGACAGCCCAGAGAGGACTCGCTTCTGTGTGTGTCCTGTGTCCTGTCTCGGAGGCGAGGGAAATCTGCTGGGAACCAAACACTTCCCTCGGGGTTCTCAGCTCACCTCCGGGAGCCTTTTCCCACGACGGATTTTTGTTGTTGTGGATGACACTGTTGAGTTCTAAGGTCTTCAAGTTCTCGGGCATAGTTTCTACACTTATTTTGTTGAGGGCATATCATTTTATATTCCTACTTTTTTTTCCCCCTTTTAGACCCACCGGGCCCTCCCTGCACCAGAGAAGCCCATCCTGCCCCATATCCAGGGTCACGGTCTTTCGGGAGAGCTCCTTGCCTTCCTTCCCTTGCTGGGTTCAGTCACGTTATGTTTGGAATGCATGTATGTCTCTGTGTTGTTTTTTTGCTTTCAACGTTGATGAAGAGTTCTGTAAATAGGATGGTTGGGGTCCGGTGACTGTCTCACTCTCGATAAAGCTGTCTGCTTGATTCTCGGATTAGAAGATGCATCTTATGTGCACACACCTTCTTCCTTAAATAAGTATTCTTTGGGGGGGGGACCCTTGCTTTGCATTCCCCCTGTGGTGAAGCCCCAGAAATTGACAGGCATGGCCAAAAGTGTATGTGCTCAACTGGTCAATTTCTCTAAATTGTGCTACTTTTGTTTGTTTGTGTTTCATCATGGATTTTGCTTTCCAGTTGGAAGAAAAGAAAACTGAGCCCCATAGTTAGGGCATGTGTGTGGCCGCCTTGGGCCTGAAGCTGCAAGGGTGTGCTTCAGACGCCCCTTTGCTGTATTGCTGAATGCCCTTGCTTCCATCTGCCTCGGCTACCCACCAGCATGTGTCTGTCAGGCATGACGCAGGAAAAGCGTGATTCCATGTCCTCAGCAGGTCTGCGATCGGTCCATGTGGAGAGTGCGTGTGGGCGCATGTGTGGGGTGAGGGCAGGAAGGGTGTGGGCAGGGGATTTTTTGCCTCTCTCAGTTGAGTGTGGTCTCCAGGATGGTCCCTTTAAGGAAAGCTCAGACAGTCACTTCTGTTTTGCTATTGGTGATGAAGTATGGCTGTGGGGGCGGGTAGTGCTGGGTGCGAGTTCCTAAGGGATCGCTAGAGCCCGACTCGGCCGTGCCCAGCTTGCCCTTGTTGCCGTAAGCTTGCCGCCGGAGGGACTGCTCGTTGGGGTCCCAGCCCTTAAAGTTGGCGGTGGTGGTGTTGTAGGCTAGCGGATGTGCAGGCATCTTACTGACGCGGGACTTCTGTCCATTCTGTTTAGCTGGACCGTGCTCCGGGCTGAAGGGCCGGGGCTCATCCTCCACTCGCACGGGGTGCAGAGGTAGGTTCCCCTTGGCAGCCAGCTCGGCCAGGTGCCGACGCTTGGAGTAGAAGTCATCACTGACCTTGTCGGCTGTACAGAAGGAAGGGTAGGTAAAGAAGTGGAGAAGAGAAGGAAAGAGAGAGAGGAGAGAGTTAAGGATTAACAGGGAAAGCGGAGGACAGCATAAGGGGGTGGGGACAACAGTTCAAACAAGACACACAGGAGAAACTGCAGCTGGAATAAGAATAGGGAAGGCAGGCTCACACCCTGCCTGCAAACCAGGCCAGGAGGGTGAGGGCATCTCTCTACAGCTTCCACCCAATGCCACTGAACCCATGCCAATCCAGGATGACCCTAAGATTGCGTTTTCTCCACTCACAGAATACCACGCCTGCCCTCCACAGGGGGTCCTCAGCACCAACCTCCCAGTTAGGAGTCAAATGTAAACCACGAAACCAGGATAATCTCTACACCCTCCCAGCCCATTACTTCTCCCCATACAGCCCCACAGATGCCTCTGAGATCCTTTACTTTCTTATCGGAAGGCTGAGTGATTCTATCTGCTCAGATCTGGCAGATATTGATCAAGCAAGGGACAGATTACCAATTAGGATGTGGATTCAAAGTCAGCTCTGCTTTTCGCCCTCATGCCCGCCCCCTCTGCCATGATTCATTAGCATTAATTGTGACCGGGCATCATGAGAAGTGGGCCCTTTCCTGAAATCTGAATGAGGAGAATCACACAAAAAATTTCTGTCAGGTTGTGAGAATGGCAGTTCCTTTCATCCAGAAGTGGTGTCCATTTCCCCACCCCTTGAAGATGGAAAGAGGAGCCGTGGGGGCATAGTGCTTACACATTGGGCTGCTAACTACAGTCAGCAGTTCGAAGCCACCAGCCACTCCTTGAGGGAGGAGTTGGGGGAAGGCGGGGATTTCTACTCCCATAAAGAGTTAGTCTCAGAGACCCACAGGAGCAGTTCTTACTGTCCTGTAGGTTTGCTATGAGTTGGCATCGACTCGATCACAGTGAACTTGGCTCCCTGGCTATGGAATGGCCTTGGAACTGCCTTTGGCCAGTGTAGTGTGGCAGAAGCCCCGCATCCAGGCTTTTCCGGCCTCTGCAGCTTCGGTCAACATGCTATCAGAACCCTGCATTTCCAAATGAAGGAAGCTAGTTGTCCATCTCTACCTTCACCAACAGCCTGTTAACTGGAATGAGACCATCTGAAATCATGCAGTCACCACTCAGCCTGCCAGCTGATCACAGGCCCTGAGCAAGCCCATCTGGGGGCAGCTAGTGCAGAACTGTCTACCTGATACAGAGGAAGAGTCTCAGAGGTGGTTGGTAGGTTCAGCCATGAAGAGCCTCTGGCTAGTACAGTCAGGGCACTCAGTTGCTAACTGAAAGGTTGGAGGTTCGGTCCACCTAGTGGGTCTCAGAAGCAAGGCCTACTAATTTCTTTGTCTCTGGTGCACACAGTGAGTCCAACATGGCTGGGAGTCAACTTAATGTCAACTGCTGTTTAGTTTGGTTTTGATGTCAAGCCACAAAGGCAGAGGCAGCAGGGAAGTCACTCAGAGCAGTGGGCCATCCTGAGAAAGGAGTGTGGCCATTTCAAGGGCAGTGAAGGAAGCAAGGGGCTGGTCCAGACCACCGGCTGTTTTACAGACTGGACGGGCTATGCATACCTACAAGTCAACCAGCCCCAGGCAGCTTAGGGAGCGCTAAACACGTACAGATTTCAAGTCTGGGACCAGAAACTATTCTTCAAAGAGCTTTAAACAAACAAAAAAGCCAAACTCCCTGCTATGAGTTGATTCTGACTCATAGGGACCCTATAGGACAGAGTGGAACTGCCCCTTCAGAGATTGTAACTCTTTACAAGAGTAGAGAGTCTCTTATTCCTCGGGTAGAGTGACCGGTGGTTTTGAACTGCTGACCTTGAGGTTAGCAGCCCAATGAGTAACCACTATACCACCAGGACTCCTCCAAAGAGCTTTAGTCACGATAATTTCAGCAACAAGGGAGTTGACAGTCAGGTGATGAACTTCTGCTGAGACCAGGCAATGTAATTTGAGGGATGTTCCCTCCCACACTATTTCTGGTTCTCTCTGATTTGGATCCAGGACAGGAGTACCTGGTCATTCTTGGCTCTGAGTAGTGTGGTCCCTGTCTTACTATATTAAAAAGCTCCTTGTGCAAGAAAGAGTGGATTCACTGAACAGCCTTGTAAGCCCCATTAATAAATGCATTAACCTACTCAGCCCTGGTACCCTGTAGGCAGATGGTTGACAGGCTGACAAAGAAACAGATGTGTAAGTTTTTCAACAACACTGGCCCTCTCTGTTTGATTTTCCATCATTGAAAAAGAGGAAGAAAGAAAGAAAAAGGTGCCTACTTTCCAATAAGCCTAATTGCCTTGAAGGAATCAGGGCTGTAAAATTAAACTGTACCTGCCTCCATCTGTCTCTCTCTTAATTAGTAGCAGACACTTGTACAGGTGCAGGGCGGGATGGAGCCACACTTCCGTGGAAATGGAGTGAGACAAGGTAATAACCAGTTTTCCAGACAGGCTGCACATCTGAGGGTCACAGCAGGCAGTCTCCCCTCTACCTTCTTTCCTCGGCCCAAAGATATCTTAAGGGGGATATTCCTGAGTGATGGATTCCTCCTGGGAAGCGAAGTTCCAATCAAAGCTTTCACCTTTGCTCAGCCACCGCTGCTTTGAGTAACAAATATGATCACAGGGACTAATCAATCTTCCCATCACGATCAAGAAGATCCAAACTCCTTGAAGTGGTCTACAAGATCACCCGCCATTGCCTGAACTCTAGCTCTAAGCCCACCCTCCTTCAGAGTTCCCTTCTTCCTGTTCCTGAGCCTACCAAGCCTACTCTCTCGGAGGCTTTGAGCTGCGTTGTTGCCAATTGTGGCCCAAAAAGGGGCTCTTCTTATGGGCTGCATCTCCGGACCCCTCTGTTGTTTGTTCCTCAGATCCAGTGACCCATTCCATGGAGCCTTACTCCAATGTTATAGGTCCAGCGCCTGTATCCCTACAGGGAATGATCCTTCCAAGTTACTAGGCGCGGTATGATGCTTGACTAGACTGTGAGTTTTAATGAAGACCAGGATCTTCTCTGCTCTTGCTGTCTCCACACGACTACCTCACTGCCTGGCGTGCCTCATAGTGTTGCTGTTAGCTGCCAGACAGCAGGCCCCAGTACATGCTGACCCGATGCACCAGGGACAGAAATGCAGTGCAGTCCGGAGTTGGCCCCATGAGGACTTGCAGACTAGGCCATGGTGAGCCACAGGGTTTTCCCTGGCTGATGTTCTGAAGCAGACTGCCAGGCCTTTCTCGGGCCAGTGGCCTCTTAGGCCAGTGGGTCTCAACCTTCCTCATGCAGTGACCCTTTCATACAGTTCCTCATGTTGTGGTGAACCCCCAACCATAACATTATTTTCATTGCTACTTCATCACTGTCATTTTGCTACTGTGATGAATCGGGTGACCCTGTGAAAGGTGACCCACAGGTTGAGAACCGTTAGTCAATCTTAGTCTGGAAACTCCACTGAAACCTGTGGTGGAGGGCCACACAACACTTACCATTCATTTAACCACCTGCCTGCCTGGCAGAAGATAAGGCTATGTCTGTGGGGAAGGATTAATCTGCAGAAACTTTCCCTCCTAAACCGAATAAAATATAGTAGGTATTATGCAGGGCAAACAAGCTTTCTTGATTCTTCCTCTTAAAATATCAGGGGTTGGGGCATGGTACACATGTAAATATCATATTCAACTTTAAAATGGGGCAAAAGGGAGATCAAATGATAGGGTCTTACATTTTAACCGAACTACATCTGCCATCTTGACTTTACAATGCTCTCTCTATTCACATGCCTTGACTATGGTAAGAAGGCTTCTCTAGAGACTTTATCCATGTTGGACCCTGCAAACTGAGTGTGGACTTACCCGCCATCCAGTCTTCTGCAAATGGAGTGTTCACAATTTAAGCTCTCTCCTTCAGATATGAGTTTTATTATTTATAGTCTGTGGGTCACAGAGGTTGGTGTGCTTCTTCCATGTGAACTTAGTTGATGTGTCACTTAGATAGCTCCTTGTTTTAAAAAGCCTTTAAGACCCCATACTCTGTTCTTTCTGAAAGCTGGGCACCAGGTGGTTTCTTCTTCACCCCACTTTGCTATAGCTCTCATATCTTCAATAATCTCTTCAAAGGGGCAAGCCTCAGGATAAAACATCAAAATGCCACAGTTGCAAGACTGATGGCGCCCCAAACACCCCCAGGCAAAAAAAAAGGATAAATCTTTTCTTCTTTAACGTGGGACAAGGGAAAGGAGCTGGTGGTGACACGGGGCCTCCCACCAGGTTCTTCCAGATGCATGCTGGCTACTGTGAACATAGGGTCTCAAACCCCTCTGAGGTGTGATGGTGTTGGCTGGTGTGCTGGCCAGCCTCAGACTGAGAGGCAGCCTCCAGTTACAGAGTTGGGCTGCATAAAGACAGCCTCCTAGAACTGAGAGGAGGGCTAGGGCTCTTCATCTGGCAGGTGTCTGCCAGGCAGTTGTTCAGTTGTATGGCATTTCATTGACTCCCGATGCCAATGAGGTAGATGTGGTTGCCTGCTTCCTCACACTATACAATAGTAATTCTCTTCCTAGCAATGTAGTAGAGTCACAGTTTGAGACACTGCCCAATATTTCTCCTGCTTATGATTCCTCTACCTCTCTGCATCATGTTAGACATGGACCAAGAGCCTTTAAGCTGCTCTGGAAACCCTATAGGTCAGTTTTACTCTGTCTTAAAGGGAAGTTGAGTTAGACTCAACTCAACAGACTTTATTACTTTGAGCCATAAGGAAGTAGTGGTGGCTCAGTAGCTGAACTCTCACCTTCTCTTAGGTTGACCAGGGCTCCATTTCTGGCCATCACATCTCAAGCACATATTGGTTTTGAATCCCATACCTGGCTTCTAGAAACCAATAGAAGAGCCCCTAGTCTTGAAAGGCAAGACTCTGGCTGTAATATTAGAAAATGTTGAGAAACGAGGAGGTATAACTATGGCCAAAAG